CCCCAAAACCCCAAAACCCCAAAACCCCAAAACCCCAAAACCCCAAAACCCCAAAACCCCGGTCCTTTCCTGAAATATTGAAGACTGCTCTTTAATTATGAATTAATTCTTGTCCACGCTGAAATAATGGTGAAGATTTTTAGCCCTTGGATCTTCTGAGTGATCAGCCAAGCATCTGACCAAAGTTTGCAGGCTTACTGACTCCATGGACTTCCTGAACTTAGGCATGGAGAAGCTCCGAACTGTCTGCAAGAAATCAAGCACTTCGTGCTTGATTTGGAGACGACACTTGAGTTTCCTAGGATTCCTTAAGTTAAGAATTCCTTTGGTGTAGTTCACCAAATCTTTCGTGACTAGAGAGGTAGGGATCATTGTAGCAAGAGTCGAAGTTACACTCTCTGTAATTTCTTGGGAACTACAGTTAACATACCTCTTCCTAATAATTGGCTTATTATGGGTCTTGTAGAGGTTGAGGAAGAATTTTCTGAGGAACCTCAGAGAGTCTCTGCACTTGATATCTCCTCTCTTCAAGCTATGAGGCACAGAAGAGGTCAGATGAAACTCAGAAGTAGCCTCTCTACTCTTGGTTCATAACGATGCGGGGATATTTTCCAACTCTTTATGAGTAAAATTAGTCTCTTCATTATGTGTTTTTATCCCTCACCAGTATGCAGCATTCTCAGGCAAGTCAAAATATTTTGAGTTTGGAGCTATGAGCTGGTCATTCTATGTACAAAAATTAGTCCAAAGAGTTTGGATTCACCAAAATGAATTAGGTTTAGCTCAGTGATTACTCAAATTTTGGGTTTTAAGATATGCCTGCAAAATTAATATCGAAGGTGTGCTAATTACCCAATCTGAGTCCGTACCTTATTTTCGAGCCAAGCTGACGCGAACACGTTGTCCGGGTAAATCCAGGACGAGTCACTGAAGATGTAACCTTGCTGATCCTTCAGTAACGCTTGAGTGAAGTTGTGGAATTGGTTTTCCATGGACTTTAATAATTAAATTAATGATTATTTTTTATTTTAACGATCAATTTGTCTCCACAATCCTGGGGTTTTGGGGTTTTGGGGTTTTGGGGTTTTGGGG